CCATGTCCTGGCCCACCTTCCTAGCTGTCTCTTCCGTTCTCAGCTTCCCTCTTCAGACACCTTTCTTCTCAAAACCTGGGCCCTCCCCTTACCGTCTTGTGAGTCTTGATGAGCTGAATAACTTCGTAGTACACCTTCCTCCAGAGCAGCTCCTCGGCCTTCCTCCCATAGTCCACTGGGTGCAGGAACATAAGCTTGACGCACAGCTCGCGCAGCCTGAGGGCACAGAGCAGCACGGGAGGCTGACCATCCTTGGGGCAGGGAGGCATGTGCGATGCCCCGACCCACAAATTCCCATGCCTCCCAAGGGACATCCAGGGTCTGTCTGCAGGACTTGGGACAAACAGCAGTCCTGGAAAGCAGGGGAAACCCCAAAGGATAGAGGCGGGAGCAGTAAGAACTTTAATAATCTTCTTTGCGCCCTGCACACTTCTCTCCTTTTTTCCTGCCTTTTAACCCCATCTTTCTTTCCTGCCATTTGGTAGCATGGCCGGTTCCCCCAACTCAGTGCCGTCTAGTGGCACGAGGCCGCTAGAGGAAGAAGCTGCAGAGACAGTGAGGGGTCCCCACGTTCTCTCTCAGGAAGGCCAGAGTTCTCAGCCCGTTACCGTACCACGAGCTCAGGAGGTAAGACAGAACACGCGTCTGTGTGCGACAGGGTTTCGGGGGAGAAAGGCAGAGAAAGCTTAAGGCTCTGTCGTTGAGAGTCTCCGGCTTACTTGTTCCTCAGGCTAATGTTCTCTGGTTTGAACACCTCCTGATAAGCGGTTTTGTTGCAAAGGATGAGGTCAAGTCGATGCACAGCCTCCACCACGGCCCTGGAAGGAGCACAGGCAGAGAGCCCTGAGCCCTGCATATGCCCAGGCAGGCTGGGGCGGGGGCTCTGATCCTAAAGAAGAAGCTACAGAATTAGGGGGAGGGAAACAGGAAGGCTGCAGGCTAAGCTGTACAAAAGCAGATGGACAGTCGCCACGCACCCCAAGAATAGCCCTCTCCCCTGGGGACAGTTCTGTCACTACTTGCGGCGGGGCTTGGGGGGCAGGGGAGCTGCTACTGGCTTACAGTGGGGGCCGCCAGAAGCCCCACGACACATGGGACAGTCCACCACAATACATATCTTGCTCCAAGTGTCCAAGGTGTCAAAGCAGAGAAGCCCCGTGATAGGAAAAGCTGGATTCTCTTAATGGAAGGAACCTGTGCTGGGACGCCCACAGGAAATGCAGGCTCTGACCCTGGCTGTGTCTACGTCTGTAATTTTAGGCAAATTAAGCTCTCCAAGCCTCAGTTTCCCTGTCCATAAAAATGGGGACAGGCATGGCAGCCGCCACAGGGGACTGTGAGGACAAACTGAAAGGACTCGCATGAGGCCCTGGCACACGGCAGCCGCTCAACAAGTAACGGGACACGAGTTAATCATTGTCCAAGGGCTTACTGACCCTGACACAAAGGAAAGGCCTCCCTAGCATAAATTTCTATTTCTGAATTAGTGGGGTACGGAAGAATGGGGAGGGGGGCTGCACCGCGTACTGCGTAGTCGCAAGGTCTCCTCGACTCTTTGCTTGCTATGACAGGCTCTGGGTGCGGGGCGAAAGCGCTAACTTCCTTGTGTCCCAGCTCTCCCATCTACAAAATGGAAGCACAATTACGGCCCCTGCGCGAGGATTAAATTAGCAAATACGTGAAGCACTCATGATGGTGCCTCATACATGCAGACTCAGCAAGTAGTAGCTTCTATCTTTCTTGTCGTAAGGCCAGGAGGCGACCCCAGACACCACGAGAAAAGGCCACTGAAACGCCACCATGGATGGCTGAGAAGTGCCAGAGGGACGTGCCATCTCTAGAAGGGGAAAACCCAGAGGAAGGCAGGTAACAGCTGTGGAACAGGGAAACTCAGAAACAGCTCCGGCACACAAGCAACCAAGAAAGGGAGGGTTTGGTGACTGTTTCAGAACACTGAGACCTGGGCCCCTGGGCTGGCAAAGTGGGCCACGGCAGGCTGGCTCCCTGCGGAGGCTCAGGTGGGACGCCAACAGACGCTGCCCTGCCCAGGGCAACGTGACCGCCAGCACCCAGAGGAGCGGGCGGGAGGGGACTCTGGGCCTTCTCACAGGCAATCTTGAGAGCTCAGCATTTCTGCAAACGACTTCTGGGCCGCCTACAGATGGGAGCCAAGCCCTCTGAGCCAGCCTGGCCCTCCATGCCAGGGCTGTCAGACGGCCATCCGTGACTTTATCCTAGGCCCCCTTAGTTCCCCAGGGCAGGGCTTTCGAACTTCCGGGCCACGGACAGACCTCAGGAGCGTGTGCACATGCCTTTATGGACCGGCTCCACAGCTCTCCCTAGCTGTCCATCCAAGAAAGCTTAATAACCATCACTCCGGAAAGTTCTAATTGCAGATTCTCTTCTTTCTTTTTTTTTTTAGAGTAATCTGTACACCCAACATGGGACTGAATGCGTGACCCTAAGATCAAGAGCTGCGTGCACTCCTGAGCCAGCAGGCTCCCCGAAAAATGACTTTTTAAAAATAGTTCGTCAGCCTAATTAATTAACTGGTGTTTGTGGCCCTTCCAGCATCCCTGCTACTGCTGCCTTCTCCTCTTCTAAAACTTTTCAGAATCTCCGTCTACAAGCAGACGCTGGGAATTGCCCCAATTTACTGAAGCTCAGAGTGACAGTTCGTATCTAACCACACATTTACGTGGGGCAGAGGAAGCAGACCTTCCTTCCCCGCTTCCTTCCCGCAGTCACCACTGCGTCTGTAAGGAATCAAAGCAGCGACCTGCCGCCTCCCGTTTCCACCCGGCTCAAAGCCAAGAACACAGGCACAGGCAGAGGGACGCACGCGCGCACGTAAGCCACATGTGCACCCACATCACCTCGTCAGTCCCGTGAGGTACTGGGGTGGGCCGAGGGGCAGCGAGGCCCGCGAACGATCAGAAGGACGACCAGGCCGCTGCTGAAAGCTGGAGACACGTGCGGGATCTCGCAGGCAGGGCCCACGCTCGGTCGGCAGGGTGACGCGGCACCCGTGTCACCCACCGCGGGCTCCTCACCCACCCTGAGACGGCTGGGGGCAGCCCACAGTGGGCGCCCAGGGGCTGCCGATTGGATCACTTTGCTGTTTTGGAGCGACCTATACTCCCCTGTGCTTCTGACTTACAAAGGCCAGAAAGGCAGGACGGCCAGTGGCGGGAGGGAAAGAACAGCTCCGACTCTCGCCCCGCCGAGATGGGGCCGCCCCGCCGAGGACCCCTGTTCTACGAACCTCACCCTCTACTAGAGAGCAGCAACCTCAACCTCGTCTCACGCTTCACCCATTCTGCCCCAGTTCTAGAAACCACGTTCCAGCTGCCCCCCAGAAAGAAGAAATCCTCGACCCTGTGTGGGAAGAGCGCACGGCGGCCTCAGCAGAGGGACGGGGGCGGCAGCCAGGACCTGCGGGGGGCGAGTGGCGCTGCGGGAACCAGAAACTGGGGATGGACACTGCCTGGCAAGGGGCTGTAGTCCTGAGGCTGGGAGGGAGCAGGGCTCGCGACCAGGAGGGCCCCGGTGCCCTGAAATGGGCTCCCGTGACCTAGGAACACTCTGGACCTGGCCCTTCGTGGCCCCTCCAGGCCGACGCAACTCGTCTTCGGCCTCTCTTTTCATTCAAACTCCGCAAAACGCGACCGGGAGGGACTTCAGGGCGTACCCGACCCAAGCCGTCCTCTCCAGGATGCGGACGGCGAGGCCCAAGGTCACACGGAGCCCCTAGCTCTCCGGACCGCAGGCCGGGGCACTCCCCTCCGTCGCGTCCTGCGGGGTTCGGAGCGCCGCTCCCTTCCGGGTCCTCCCCGCCTGCGACCCCACCCTCACCTCCGCGGCCCGCAGAGCTCGGCGCCCGCCCCAGGCTCCGGGCCAGGGGCCTCCTCCACGTGCGCCCCCCGGCCGCCCCCGGCTTCGGCCCCCGCCGGGCCCCGCGCCCACCCGGCTCGCCGCCCGGCTGCGCCCTCCCGCGCCCCCCCCGCACCCCGGCCCCGCCCGCCGCAGCCCCGCCCCCGCGGCGCCCACTTCCCCCGGCGGCCGCACGCACGCCCCGGCCCCTCACCGGTAAAGCCGCTTGGTGTGGAGGACCTTCGCCTCGGGCTCGCTGCTCTCCCCTGGGGGGGGGGCCTTGGCTCATGGTGCCTGGGTCCGGGGCGGCTCCCGGTCACAGGCCCCCGCCGCCCGCCGCTACCGCCACCACTGCCGTGTCCGGCCGGAGCCGCAGCCGCCGCCGCCGCCGCCGGCCCTGCTCGGCCGCCATCGCTGTGAGGCGGCTGCCCGCGACAGCTCCTCCTCCGCCCGCCAAATCTCGCGATAGCAGCCGCCCAGCGGCGGGCCCGCGGCCTGAACGCCGCCAAATCTCGCGAAGCTCGTTTTCCCTCCCGGGAAGTTGCCCGAACTAACTCTGGGCAGCGCGGCCTCCTTCCGGCTTCTGCAAGCCCCTGCGGAAAACTTTATTGACAAAGCCGCCCGCGAGCGGACGGCGGACCCTGCGAGGGGCTGGAGCTGGGCTGCGGGGCGGCAGATGGGCCCACAGCTAGGAGCGAGGCTCTGCTCTGTCCGGCAGAGCAGGTCCGTCCTCGGTCCGTCCTTCCGACCCTTCACCCCAACCCCCGCTGGAGCCGCGTCGCTTTCGGATCACTGCCGACTCCTCCCTCCCCCACCCCCACCCCCCGCGGTCTCTTGAACAAACCTAAGTGTACCTGAAAGTTCCCTTCAAAAGGCGGCACGCGAGCGGCCGGCCCTCCGAGACGCCAGCCTTGACCGCGTCCGCGGTTCCCCGGCTCCCGTCGCCCAGACCCACACCCGCGCGTCTCTCAGCAGCCCCGCAAACAGTCACACCCGGCCACGCGACGCGGGGCGAGCGACCCAGACCCTGTCCCGCCCTCCCAGAGCTCCGACGGCTCGGGGGTGAGGCCCCACGGGAGCGAGCAGCCCCCACGGGAGCGAGCAGCCCCCACGGGAGCGAGCAGCCCCCACGGGAGCGAGCAGCCACGCGCCCTCTGCCTTGGAAGGTCACCTTGGATTCTGATCGCTTTCCTAACCTTGCATCCAGGCTGCAAAGCGAGGTGTTTTGGGGGTCTTTGTGAGTTATGATGGGAACATAACCTCCCCTCCCCCTCCGTCTCCTGCACCGACCTTTTTTCTGTTCCTGAAACCACCTAGGCTGGGCTTTCTCCTGCTGTCCCCTCCTTAGGACACTCCTTACTTCCCATGAGGTCACAGCTCAAATGTCATCTTGGCTAAGAGGTTTTTCTCTAATCGTCTGACAGGTTAGGCTCTTCATTACCTGGAACCCCAATACAACAAGCTTCTGGAGGGCAGGGACCTTGCCTGTCATCTTGTCTCCTATGTCTGTGCCTAGAATAGTGCCTGACTAGAAACAGGTGCTCCACAAATATTCATGGATAACGGTAGAAATTCCACTTCTTTTCTGGGTCTCCCAACCTACTCCAAGCATCATTTCATGTACAGACCCACTCTTTACCCTCTGCTTTGCCGAGCTTCAGGCTCCCACACATCCCATGTGCCTGGACCTCACGCTCCCCTTTACGCCCAGCTGCACCCCCACTTTCAGAAAGGATGACGACGTCCTCCGCCAATGCTTTTTCTGTCGGCAGATTCAGCAGGGCGGGTCCTGCCCCTTTAATCTGGGCCCCACCTGCTCTGGTCAGACAGGTTTGGAGACACAGGTAAAGGGAGAGAGACTGAGAGGAACACTTGCACAGCCAGCAGGGAGCCGGGCAGCTCCTTCCCAGACGTTGGGGACCCTCCGTCTCTCCAGATGGAAAGTAAGAGGGTATCATGGGTCTACATAGCTAGAGGCAGGTGGGGGGAAGGCAGGGAAGGCAGGCTTGAGGAGGTGGGGGGAAGGGACCCAGCCCCATCCAGCAGGAGTGAGATGGAGAAAACAGGGAGGGGATAAAGGAGAGGAGGCATGGGGAACAGCCATGATTAGACCTAGAACTCAGAAGGGACAGCCCCAGGCCCTCTGGAGATGGAGGACAGAGGACAGGGGCTGGTGAAGATTGTGGAGACTGCCCAGGTGCCCACCTTGGAGACGAAAGAGCAGGGCACACGGCCACTGCCGGATCCTTGGGGCAGAGTTGTAGGCAGATCAGTGGTATCAGTTACCAGGAGAGTTCCAAGCAGGGATTGACAAGAAGGGGAGAATTGAAGATGGAGGGGCAGAGAGGCCCCTGGTGGGAAGGGAGCTCCTGGCAAAGCTCTAGAAACCCTTTTGTCCTCCTGTTTTTGCATGAGGGTGGCTATGACCCCAGGGGTTTTGGTGGAGGGAGTAGATGGTGTGGGTGGGAGCTGGCCGAGGCCACAGCTGCCAGCGCCTGCGCCCCCTGACTCACCCTCTCCTGCTGGGTAGCATTTGACGCAGAAAGGGTGTCTCCATTTCAGCTGCTCACTTCCCTCCCACCTCCTTCTTTTCAACACCTTTCTTGGCCCCATGTTCTCCCTAAGGTCCCAGAAGAGGCCAAAGCCCATGAGACCAGCTGCCCCAGACAGTTCTGACTCTATCAACCTGTCCCGGGGGCCAGAAACCAGGAACTTCTGACACATCTTTCTTCTGCTCCCTCCAGGGTGGTAGGCCCTCATGGTAGACCCCAGGAGTGAGGCCCCAGGATGACAGAACCCGAGACCCTGGCCCTGCTGGAAGTGAAGGGGTCTGAGGCCCCGGAGAAGAGCCCACCCCAGGCCTTGGTCCCCAACGGCCGGCAGCCAGAAGGGGAAGGTGAGGCCGAGACCCATGGAGCTGCGTCCTCCAAGGTGGGGTCCTCAGTTGGGTCTACCACAGCCGGAGAGGGACCTGAGGATGGTCTTGACAGCGCAGTGAGCGAGGCGGCCACCTTGCCCTGGGGGACCGGCCCCCCGCCCAGTGCCCTGTTCCCAGACCCCCCCGGGTGGCGGGACATGGAGCCGGAGCCCCTCCGGTCAGAGCCACCCCCCAAGCTGGAGGAGTTGTCCGAAGATGATGCCAACCTGGTGCCCGAGAAGGCGGCCCGGGCCTTCGTGCCCATTGACCTGCAGTGCATCGAGCGGCGGCCCCAGGGGGACCCGGCTGCGCGCTGTGAGGCCGGCGAGGGCGAGGGCCGCCGGGCCTGCCTGCCCACCCGGCCCACCCAGCCCGAGCCCTGTGAGCGCAAGTGGGCCGAGGTCGTGGTGAGGCCGCCGGGCCACACTTGTGGGGGCTGCGGGGGCTGTGGAGGCCGGGAGGGGCTGAGGGCCGTGGCCTCGGTGGGAGCCGCGCTCGTTCTCTTCCCCTGCCTGCTATATGGGGCCTACGCCTTCCTGCCCTTCGACGCCCCGCGGCTGCCTACCATGAGCTCCCGCCTCATCTACACGCTGCGCTGCGGGGTCTTTGCCACCTTCCCCATCATACTGGGTGAGCCGGCCGGGGGCGGGAGCGGGGGTGGGAGCTCCCCTTCCCCGGGGTCCCTGCGCCTGGCGCACACCAGGGTCCACGCCCCCCGCCCCCCGTGAGCCCTCCCCGGCTTCCAGCCCGCGGCTCACGGGCCGCTCCGATCCGCCAGGGCTGCTGGTGTACGGGCTGAGCCTGCTGTGCTTCTCGGCCCTGCGGCCGTTTGGGGAGCCCCGGCGGGAGGTGGAGATCCACCGGCGCTACGTGGCCCAGTCGGTGCAGCTCTTCATCTTGTACTTCTTCAACCTGGCCGTGCTCTCCACCTACTTGCCCCAGGAGACCCTCAAACTGCTCCCCTTGCTCACCGGTCTCTTTGCCGTCTCCCGGTGAGCTGGCCGGGGGCGGGGAGGTGGGGGGGGTGGGGTTGGGGGAGGGGGGGGGGCTGGAGGGACCCCGGCATTTTGTCTGGGGAGACGGGGGCAGGGAGCCCTCGGGATTCCGCATTAGCCCGGATGTGCCCCCCGCAAGGTGAGTCCGCTTTCCGCCTGCACCTGACCTCACCTGGAGCAGGTGATGCGCCCTGTGTTCCCAAAGGAAGTTGTTTTAGAGAGCCAAGGACCAACCCAAAACTGGAAAGGCTGCCAGGTGTCACCTCCATCAACCTCCCACCCGCTGGCCTCTAGTCAGACACCCCCTGTGACCGATGCGCAGTTCCATGTCCGTGTAAAGGCCCCAGTTACTAGAGAGTCTTGTCTTTGTGTTACAAACCGCTGTCCTGACTTTGACTCTGGAATTGCCCAGGACCGTTCAGGTATTAGACACCAGCGCTCCATGTCCCTACTCCAGCACCCTGCCCCCCACCCACAGTTTCCTTTGCCTCAGTGTCCTGTGACCTTCCCTCTGGCCAGAGAGCCTCCTGCTTGTCGGCGGTCACTGGCACTGGCCTCCTGCTCGTAAGCGCGGAGTCACGTTGGCTCTTGTTCCTCTGCTTTCATCTGGAAGTCACCCGAAACCCTGTGGGGCGTTTCCAGTGAACTGCTGCTAACCCAGAAAGCACTTTTGAATTTCTGAAGGCACACGCAGATCTTTTCGTTTTTTTCCCTAACGTATTTCCTTTTGTTACTTTTTTTTTAAAGCTTGTGTTTGTCAGAGAGAGAGAGATCGTGCGCACAAGCAGGGGTGTGACAGGGAGGGGGAGAAGCAGATTCCCTGCTGAAAAGGGAGCCCAGTGTGGGACTCGATCCCGAAGGCAGTTAACGACTGAGCCCCCCAGGCATCCCTCCTTTTGTTACTTTTCATGCAGGATTCCTGGTCCCTTTAAGTGCCAGAACATTCTTGCTCTTGAGCTAGCATCCGTGTGCCGTTCTTCTGACTGGAGTCCAGTGGCCGTCTTGCAGCCTGTTCTCTCCCAGATGTTCCCCCCCCAGATGAACGTGTTCCTACTTGTGTCACTCACCCTCCCGTGTCCCCGTGTCCATCCTGGGGAGCGCTGGCCTCAGACAGAAGCTGGTTTAAGCAGACCTGGCGCTTGTCTGGCCCTTCTCACCTGGTTCACGGCGAGGGAAGCCCAGCAGGTCAGGGGACGCCCGCCAGCAGCCATGGGGCCTGGAACACAGCCCCTCCATGTGTCCCCCCAGGGCCCTTCCTTCCCTACCGCCTGCAAGGTGCTCAACACTCGTGCCTGGCTTCACCCTCTGCAGAGTGTGGGGCTTCAACAAGGGACTTCACGCAGAGAGCTTGTGGGAGTCTGGTGCTTGGGGAGGGCTCAGCCGCTGGAACCTAGTGTCCCGCTGCACCTGCCAGCCCCGGGCCGAGGCTCTTCTCCGTCCAACTGGTGAGAGTGGAGGCACGGGCGTTTTGTGGCGAGCAGTCCTTCATGTGACAAGAGGCTGCTGTCCTTCTGGCACTAGGGGTGTGTATTTGGGATGGATCTTCCAAGAGCGGAGAGGCCTATCCCTTTGGCTCCAGGCCTCTTGAAGCTGGCTTCCTTACTCTTTTCCCCTCTGTCCTCTAACATGGCAGGAGAGAGGGTGATGATCAGGCTTGGGTTCAAATCACAGTTTTACTATTTCCCTGATGTGCAACCTTGGACCAGTTCTACTTAATCCCTTTGGAGTCTTTGTTTCTTCATCTGCAAAATGAGAAACCAGTACAGTGGGGTACGGTCTGGCTGTGAGAGACGAGGAAGTGCGTGATGTATGGCTACAACCCTAATCTCCAGGACAGGCAGTGGCACGAACGGTCCATACGGTGTGCTACCGAACTTCAAAATGGGAAAAGGACATCCACCTTGTGCTTGCTCATCTGCACATAAAGCCTTGACCTACAGGCCATGGGGTTCCTGGACGTCTGAAGGCGGGTGGAGGGGAGGCGGGTGGCTGAGGGCCAGGGATTGGGACGGGGGACATTTCACCGTACTCGCTGGTGCCTTTGCATTTTGAACCACAGAAAGGTATCCCACCTACGCTGAAGTTTTAGACTTAAATTTGGAAAGTCAGCAGAGAGGGAGGAATGACGAGGGCCTCCTGGAGATGTGGGATGTCCACACTAGGGCCCACGTCGTGTCGTGTCCGCCGCCCCCCATCAGCCCGCAAGCCAGCCAGCTGACGCGCTTCCTCTCCCTGCCGCCCCCAGGCTGATATACTGGCTGACCTTCGCCGTGGGCCGCTCCTTTCGAGGCTTTGGCTACGGCCTCACATTCCTGCCGCTGCTGTCCATGCTGGTGTGGAACCTGTACTACATGTTCGTGGTGGAGCCCGAGCGCGTGCTCGCCATTGCCGAGAGCCGCCTGGACTACCCCGACCACGCCCGCTCGGCCTTGGACCTCAGGCCTCGTCCCTGGGGCTGAGGCCCCCACTCGGCTCCCCCCAGCCTCACTGCCTCGGGGGACAAGCCCCAGGATTGCCCACCTGTCCCCTGCTCTCCCCCCTTTCACCTCGGGAGCCCTCGGCTGCCGGGAGGGGATTCAGCTGGTTTCTTGCAGGGGAAGAGGTGGACGGCCATGCCCCTTCTGCAGGCTGAGGGCAGGAGGATGGCACAGGGAGCGGGGGCATGGTTCCCTCCTGAGCAACACCCCCACCCCTGGCGCTGCCTCCAGGACCCCCTGTGCTGGCCTCCGCCCCACGCTCCAGCCCCCGTGAGGCCGCGCAGGCAGAGCCTCCACTGACTGACCATATCTGTGCTACGGGCCACAGGGAGACGGGCAGTATTGCCCGTGCCCAAGGTAAAGCCTGGGCATCCGATCACACGGGACTTGCACGTTTGGCAGAAACCTTCCTGCGGGCCTGGGTTCAGGACCCTCCACCACGGGCCCCTGTAGGACTTTTAGCTTCGGTCAAGATGATCGAAGCTGCCCTAGCCCAGAGCTGCCGCCTGCTCCCTTCTGACCCACTCAGGCCCCCAACCCCCCACCTCCAAACTGCAGAGGGGAGGGGAAGCCTCCGTCCGGAGAGGGGCAGGGGTGTGTGTGCGTGCACCCACGCACATGGTGGCTGGGGTGCCTGCAGGGTGCGGTGGCCGATGTGAACCCTGTGTGAACATGTGTGTGACAATAAATGACCGCCACGGTCCTCCCGCACTATTCATGCTTGAACCCCACTCTCAGGTGTCCCTTCCTGGTGTGAGCCAACTGGTCCAGCACCCCCTGCCCCCCAGGACAGAGAGGGGCGTGCTGGAGGGAAGAGAGGGGACCACACACGGCCTCCCTTGCCCACACCTCCCGTGCCCACACCTCAGCCTTCGGTTCCTGGAACCAGCACCCCCTCCCCGGCACCCATGAAACCCGCACACTGACAGACGAGCCCTTGGCGGGGGAAAAGAGTCTATTTCATCCCTTCCAGAGTGTCCAACCAGTCAGAAGGCCTCTCATTAGGCCCGAGTCCCATCCCGGGAAACAGGGCTCGAGGGGTGGGAAGGGATTGCCAAGGGACCCTCCCCACCTCTAGCAATCACCCTGTCGCTGGTACCTCCCCGGAGGATGAAGGAAGCCACCCCTGGGGGTGGTCTCTGAGGTCCTGCAGGGAAGCCGGATGGAGAAGGGAGCAGCTGACCCTCCATTCGGCAGACCAGCGAGGCAGGCCCGGAAGCGCACATCCCCCCGTCCCAGCGAGCGGGCCTCAGTTGATAGGCTGGTATTCGGAGCACTGCTTGTGGCCCAGCAGCAGAAACAGGCCTCCTGCCAACAACATGAGCCCCGGGGCCCCCAGGGCCACCGCCATGATGCCCAAGATGAGCGGGGACAAGCTGTCCATCGGAGGAGTGCCCACGCCCAGAAGCATCGACCTAGGGCAAGTAGAGTGGGAAAAACAGGCCAGCAGGTTAGGTGGGAAGACCGGGAGGCCGGGCTCCCCCACGTCTACTCCCAGGGCCCCGGCCCCACCCTGGCCCTCACCAGCTGAGGTAGCGTTCGTCCCAGTAGCCGGGGCCTGTGGAAGTCCCAAAGGTCAGATTGAAGGCACAGACGTTGGTCTGGGACCCAAAGAAGGCTCGGACAATGGGGGACTGGGGGAGAGGGTACTCCGAGGTGGGGTGCAGTGGGGAAGCTTGGCAGGGCAGGGCCGAATCCCGGCCTCTCTGCCTCTGGGAGAAAGCCACTGGCCGCCACTGCATGAAGCCTGATGGGGGGGACCCCCACAGCAGCTGGTCCAACTGGGGAGAACGAAAAACAACAGGATGAGGACGACACCCTGTGCCGACCCTTCCGGGCCTCCAGCTGTCACTAGCTGGCCTGGGGCCTGGGCCCACCTCCAGGACCAAAGGCCACCTGCACAGAGCCTCCTCTCCTCTGTAGAAAGGGGAGCTGGATCGGGAGCACTGGGCGCCTCCCAGCCCTGCCCTCTGCAAGCCTGTGCTCAGCTCCCTCCCCAGCCCTCCACAGGCCACACTCGTAGGCACAGTGACCAGCACCTAAAGCTGCTAAACTAGTTGCCTGTTGGTACGTGGTTACCGGCACCTCTGGCCCCGCGGGCTCCTCCTGCGGCCCCCACCCCGCGGGCGGCCTGACCTGGAAGACAGCGGGCGTGTACTCGTCGTCGATGGAGCGCTGCTCTCGCACGGACGGGCAGTCGGGGCCCTGGCCCAGGGTGACTAGCTCCAGCCCAAACAGGGAATGGTTTCCCCGGGGAGCGGCCCCAACCAGGGACACCTCGAGCTGGCAGGTGTCTGCCGAATGCAGGAGGCGCGGGGCCTGGGCCGGCCGGCCGGAGCCAGAAAAGGCCTGCACCTGGAGTGGGGGAGGCAGGGGAAGCGGGGGCCTGTGTCTGCAGGCCCTCCCCACCCTCACAAACCAGCTTTCCGGGTTCCTCTGAGTCCCCACACCTTACCCTGAAGGCCAGGCTGCCGTTGGCAAAAGCCCTGGTGGGGTCACGAATGGGGTGGCCTCGAAATGTGGCAGTCAGGGTGGCAGGGTCCAGAGAGTCGGTGATGTTGTCCCAGGAGAACTCGGCCAGGGAGTACGGGGGATGCGGTTTTCCGGGAGGCTTGGTGGACGCCTCCGATGTGCTGGTGTCGTCAAATTCAAACAGCTGGTGGGCGGGGTGACGAGGGAGGGGCTTGCTGCCGCCTGCTGTACCTGAACCACCCCCACCCATTCGCAGACCCCCACCCCCGGGGTCCCATGTCTGACAATCTTCAGTGCCCCCTCCAGGACCCCGATGAATTCTCTGCTCCTCCCCCTGGCTCTCCCCAGCCTCCTCACCCTGGTGAAGACAACGGCAGAAGAGAACCGGACGCTGTCCGCGGGGAGCACGGTGAGGCCCCCGTCCGGCTCCGGGGACAGCAGGCGGCTCCAGTTGACGGCCAGGGTGCTGTGGGGGGTGTCGGTGGCCACCAGCAGGGCTGCCGGGGGCCCCGTGCTGCTCCACACGTAGTGCAGCGTGGAGTTGGCGCCCACCGCCCGGATGTGGAGCAGGTTCTGAGGGGGGCCCTGCCAGTCCGGGATGACCTCCAGAGACACCTGGATCATGGGGTAGGGAAAAGGACACAGGTTGAAGCCGCTTGGGGGGATGGGGAGAGGTAAGGGGCGCAGAGGTGGACAGAGCCCCGGACGCCCTGACCCTGGCGGGCAGATGAGGGCGCAGGGCTGGGGGGTGAGAAAAAGGCCCACCTGGGTCCCTCTGGGCCATCAGGGCAAGACAGGGAGCCCCCGCCCTCCGCAACCCGCTCCCGTGGGCCCCAGCGGCCCCCTGCAGCCCGGGTGCCCTCCCAGGCCAGCGTCTGCTGAAGCGCCCAGGGCTCTAGCCCTTCACCTGGCGGGTCTCGCCCCCCAGCAGGTCGAGCGGGGCTGCAGACGCCAGCAGGCTCAGGAGGAGCGTGGGGCTGGGGGCACCGCGCCCCCAGCGCCAGCGGGGCCCCTCGCCGCTGCACATGGGACCCCAACTTCGGAGGGCGGAAGAGACCCCAGAATCATGTGACACGCACACTCAGCTGACCTCCGCGCAGGGCGGGGCTTCGCACAGTCCTTAAAGGGGCCGCCTCCCTTAACCTCGATCGAGGCTCGGGAGAGATGGTGAGCGGGAAGGTCGGGAAGGTGGGTGGCTCGTCATCCCCAGCGGGGCCCCGAGTGAGACACCCGGACCTCGCCTACCTGTCCGCCACGCTGGCTGCCTGTAAGGGGCCACGACGTCGGGATTCAAGATCCCAGGGGATCCCGATAAGGCCGTGCTGTGGGGAAGGCGGGGAGGAATTGGACAGAACTCGGGCGGAGACGGGGTGCCCCCATGGGTCTGTCCATGTGGAGCCCGCGCATGCCCTTCCGGACCTACGGGAGCTCCGCCTTGTAAGACATTTCCAAACTAAGAGATGGGAACCCTGTTATTTGTCAAAAGGAGTTTATGTCTGGCTGAATAAACCCCCTTTTTGTTGTTTTCGTATTTTTCCTTAAAATTATGTTGACTAATAATAAACGCACGTGACTCAGACTTCTTAAGGTAAGGGAGGGTGTCACCCTTCTTCCCTCCCGAGACCACCACCGCTGTGGCGTTTGTGACTTGTCCTTCCCAAGGAGCCCCAAGCAGGGGCACCCAGCAGGCTGCTGGGAGCGGGCGACTCTTGGTCTCGGGGCCGCGAGTTCAAGCCCCCCGCCAGGCGCAGAGCCCACTGAAGAAAGCAGAAGACCCGAGCTGTGCTGTGCGCGCCGCGTGCCACACATGTACACATACGTGAGATGCCATGAAACGGCGGCAGACCCGGGCCTGCCGTGTGCTCTCCCGCATGCGCCTTGTCGCCTGCCCTCTTCTCCACTCGCGTGTCTCACCGCGGGGGCCCATCCCCCGGAAACATCTACCCAGAGCCGAGGTGGTTTCCAGCAATCCGCTGCGGCAGGCTGTGGCATGAACACCCCTATACCGACAGCATTTCATACGCATCTGAGTCCAAATATCGGAGCTACGCGGCTGATCCCACGGACGGTGTGTGAGGTTTCCCCCGGACAGGCCGTGTGGGAGGGCCTGACTCTTGAAGCCTCCGCCCTCCTGCTTGTCCTGGCGAGGGAGGCCGGTCACTCCTCTGTAGTTACACCTGGGCCTCGGCTGGAGTGTTTGTAGGCCCCACCTTCCTGACCGCCAAGTGCTAGTTCTTTAAAGTTACCTTCTGTACTGGAACCAACATCACCGCGTCCCCCACCGCCTCCGCTCTCTTTTTCACAATGTCCATTATTCTCCCCCACGCTGATATATTCTAAAATGTCAGGTTTTCTTCTGGTTTCACTTTTTTATGTTGAAAACTTTCAGCTGCCTGTAAGTAATTTTGGAAACCCGGAATGAAGTAGGGATCTAATTTTATTTTCCCCCAAATGGCTCTTCTGGGATGAACTCAAGTTTTCTCAAAACTCATTTTTGAGGGCGCCTGGGTGGCTCAGTTGGTTAAGCAACTGCCTTTGGCTCAGATCATGATCCTAGAGTCCCGGATCGAGTCCCGCATT